CCTGAGAGTGGCTGTGGGAATCCCCTGACCTTGCAGTTGGTGTCACAGTGAGAGTCTTCTCTTGTGGGGACTTTTGCCTCCAACTATTTCTCATTTGGCCCCCTTTTCTCACACATGAGCTCACGAAAAAGACTCTTAGTTAATGGGGGTAGGGAATGTCTAACTATTTTAATGTCAATTTTCTTATCTTTTTGCTACTGTCATTTCTCGAGAGCAAATGTGAGGAAATGAGTTGACTGCAGGTCCAAGAATCTTTACATCCATAGCTAACTTTGCAGTCAAGAATCAGACAGGAAGGATGGGAGCCAACTGGCACAGAACAAGGTATAAGTGTCGAACTGAACTTTGGCTTTTGAGTCAGAACACAGGGATTGATGGTCTCCAGGCCATACCAGACAGGAAGCTTCGTACAGCGCCCACCACCAGTTCAGGCTCCCTGTCTCCTCTTGAGTAAGATCACCGTGACCTGGGGACACAGGTGGAGCCACACCTGAACCAACAGGGCCATTACCCAAACCTGGCCAAGCTATTATACCAGGAAGCAGGAATAAGAGGCCTCTCTTGGAGGCCGGGAGTCAGCATTAAGATTACTGTAGCTCTTTCCAGATGGTTCAGATCCCAAAACCTAGGTCTACATTCAGAGATTAGGAGGGTGGTCAGGGATCCAGAGTCAAGCTACCACTGAGGGCAGGAGCCTGGAGGTTGGGTTTAAACTGGGCAACTCCGAGGGCTCCGTCTGTCACTCCACCTCAGAGAGCATCTCCACCCTCCCCATGTTCACTTGGATGCCAATGGCTCCCAAATCCACACCCTGGATTCCAAATTTCCAAATGCCTATTAGAAACTTCCTCCTAGGAGTCCTTCTCTTGCCAAGAAACTCAACACGTCAAGGAATGGAATCCAACATTCCTTGCAACTCCCCTCATAAATCCAGCATCTCCATGAGTGCCACATCTATTCTCCTAGTCAAGCAGGGAAGGCGCTTTCTGCTCAGCATGGAGCCCTACCTCTCCGCACTCCTTAAACACTGTGCCAAGCCCTGCCATTCCACTCTCCAAATACACTTCTCGCTTGGCCCCTGCTCGTCATTCCCACCACCACCATGCTGGGCCTAGACCCTCACAGCCTCTACGAGAAATTCCTGCAAGTCTAAGTGGCCTCCTGATCCGCAGAAACTAGAATGGTTTCCATTCAAGAGCACCTTGTACATGCCTGGCTCTGTGCTATATCTTGAGATGGAAGAGTTCACTGCACCCCAGCAACTCTATTAAGGTCATCTCCAGTTTACAGATGGGGAAAGTGAGGCTCTCCAAGGTTAATGTGCCCATATTACCAAGACAGTAAGTGGTACAGCTGAGCCTTGAGAGAGGACTGTGTGACTTGAGAGCGAGACCACCTCTCACAGGGTAAGGGAGCTGGAGCAAGGACTGGAAATAGGGGCCACCTCTGAAATGCGGGTGTCAAGGGGCCATACGGGGAAAGAAATCAGGCCACAGGTGCTGGGCAGTAACGTGGGACTGAAGCTTCCAGTTCAGGCAGATGATCAGCAACTTGGAGATCTACAGGGATGGAGGAATGTGGTAAAGCCAGGGAGCAATGCAGAGGGGAGACAGCCAGAGCAGCTGGGGCACAGATGCTGGCCCTGGTGGCAGGGGAGAGACCTGGACGCTATCTGACACCCGCTATCTGTGAAGAAGCTGGGAAAAGGAAGCACACCGAGTCCTTGGCAAGAGCCAAGCAAGGCTCCCTGCCTCACACTTGGGCTCCCAGTCCAGGCTAGCACAGCTGCCGGCAAATGCTGCTGAAAACTTTCCATGAGGCTGGTCAAGTCTCAGAGGCTTGGTGTGGGCCAGCAAGTTGTCATCCAGAGGCTCAGATGGAGGGAGTAGGCAGGGATGAGGAGGGCTGGGGAGCCACACGGACCCAGCCAGAGTCAAGGGCCAGCAGGATGCTGGCCAATGGCCAGTAGAGTAAGAGAACAAGATCTCTGTTCCTGACTGTTCCACCTCTGGAGGTGCATCCTCTTTTATCCTCACCTCCAGTGTTAACTCATTCCAGCCTGCTGTACACCTGATCAGTGTAATTTCCCCCCACCTCTACTCAACCCCAGCTTGTTCCTTTCCACCCAAACCGGCCTAGTGTACAATCCTGAATGTGTCCCCAGTGAATAGGGTTCTGTTTGTGTCAGGTTAATTCCCAAACTTCCCAAGTTCACAGAGCATTCTGGAACTAGAAAGGCTTGAAAACCATCTTTCCCAAGTCCCTCATACTTCACACATGCTTCAGAGGTGTGACATACGTGTGGTCAGAAAGCATGACAGCAGACTGGGGCTCCACACCCCACTCTCTGGTTGGAACAAACTGCCTCTTGTGCTCACATGATGCACCAAAATTTCTCTCCCTTTTCTTCCCTTCTCATCACAATCCCTGGTGACTCCCAGTGATGTCTGGCACCTATATGATGCAGAATGAATGTCTGCTGATTTGGATTCAATGACCTCTATTTATCTGGAGAAAAATAATCTACGAAGATTAATTTACTGTAAGGTGTGAACGACTGATAGCCATCCCCCAATCCTTCAGAGTATTTTCAATTTAAAACAAGATCTTTTCTTAATCCAAATTATCTGTTATAAATCTGTAAGGTATAGAATTATCTGGGGACTAGAGAGACCTTCCTTAAGTGCTCAAATCACTGCACTGGAGTGCAAACCTACAGACAGCAAGGTAAATAACAACATTGGGGCTCTATGTTAGTGCCGCATTGTGACCACCAGGGGGAGCTCAAGGCTCCCTCTCCTCCCTTTCACCATTCCCATTCACCACCAGAGGAAGGGCCAGGAGGTTGAGAGGTCATTTTATCGGGCCACGGGGCTGTAGGTATGGTCTTTCTCTTTAAATTATCCCTTAGGATTCTCTCTTTCCCGGAGGTCCTCCAGCTTGGGAGATGGATCTTCCCAGTGGCCCCACATCTCCTGGAGACCAGAGTGGCAAAGTACAGTAGGGAAAGAGGCAGGGGGGAGGTTTGGCAAA